TCTACAACGTCTTCGTCCGGTTCCATAGCTTCGAGCGCCGTCCGGGCGCTCTCGGTCAGGTAATGTCCCATAGCTGCCTTCAGCAGCCCTCGGTTGGGGTACGTCATCTTGAGGTTCAGTCAGGCTTGTTGCCCTCAGAGGACATGGCCTCCAACTGCCACCTCCACATAGCCCTTCTAGAACTCTCCAAGACATTGTTAGCAACAGGGGAGTTCCACCAGCAGTTCTTTGTGGAGCTCTCAAGATCTCTGATGTTCTGTTCCGAGGGGGGAAATCCGGTGATGGAATCCACCGTTGCTGTCCGGATTCTTAATGACTCCAAACACTCACCTCTGCACCACAGAGGATGCTAGCAGGCTTGCTTTGCTAAACATGGGGGTTATTATTATTATTTTGCAAATATATTTGTTTCATTTTATAAAGTATACCAGAACAGAGAGAACAGTTATAACAACAGATTTAAAAAATTCAAAGTTGAGAAACAAAACTATAAAACAGGCACGCAGAATGCATGCAGTTGCACATGGGTTAAAAAAAACCAAGTCCAAGTAAATGCACTAATATTAGCATCATCTGATGATCAACACTAAAGCCACAGATCTGCCAAGCTTTCGACAAGAGTTGTCTTGAAATCCTGCTTTCTGGGCCTATTTAGTTTTCTATGTGTTGTATATATGTGTAAATAAGAGCATATAGTCCTAGGACACCCTAGTCTCTGCTGACCTTTTTGTCCCAAGGAAACCAAACCCTGGGTAAGTACAGTCGTACCTTGGTTTTCAAACAGCTTAGTTCTCGAACGTTTTGGCTCCCGAACACTGCAAACCTGGAAGTGAGTGTTCCAGTTTGCGAACTATTTTTGGAAGTCAAACATCTGACGGGTCTTCCGCGGCTTCCGATTGGCTACAGGAGCTTTCTGCAGCCAATCAGAAGCTGTGCTTTGGTTTCTGAACGTTTTGGAAGTCGAACGGACTTCTGGAATGGATTCCGTTTGGCTTCCAAGGTACAACTGTACCTGGAACCGCTGGGTTTTCTTACCGCCCAGAGATTGGGTTGGTGTGTAACACTACTTTATCCTGAGGACTCACCTATAACAGTCAGGATACCTCTGTGGGCATTGTGCCTCTTGCAGATTGGGCACTGCATGCTGAAAGTCTCCTACACGTATTGACCACGGAAAGGAAGAGATGGCTCTTCCCATGCTATGCAGTGAGCAGGAAGAATTGAATGTCCCAGTATGTGATAATGATTACTGGTCTCAGAATACCTTTAGAAAGGGTGTGTGTGGAACAAATGGATAGAGGGGAAGCCTGATGTGCTTGTTCGCTTGTTCCATAAAATTTATACACCGCCTGATTGTAAAAAAAAACCAACCACCTCAAAGCGGTTTATGAAGAAAATGAAACCATAAAATTATCTGTTAAAACAACTCCGTAAAACCAGCAACAAATTGCAGGGCGCATCTTAGGGCACAACAGTGGCATCCTTTTCAAAGGATGACGATTTTGCAAAGATCTCTCATAAAAACACAGACACATCCTATGAGGGTTCAGTCTGTGGAATCTGTGGATGGTTTCGTACCACGGTCTTGCTGCAATGCACCAGATCCCTGGTTTACATGGTTTTGTTAACAGAGAGATAAATGTGATCTGTGATCTGGTGGTGGTTGGGGGAGTGGGCAAAATATATGAAAAATTATGCCATTTTGCCATTTCCCAGTATTTGATACACATGCCTATTCTCCCTTTTTGTCCTCATACAGTACATGTAGTTTCACACTTTTTTCTCCCTTGCCTCCCTCTCAAATGGTTCCCCTTTTCCTCCCTCTCAAATGGTTCCCTTTCCACCCCCACCTTCTGAGTTGCCCCACTTTTTGTCTGTGGGGCTGGATCCCATCTCTCAGGAAGATTGCCACGGCAAGGGGGAAACCAGTGTAGGAGCAGCTGCTCCGGTGTTTGATTTCCTCTACCCTCCCCATTCCTTTTTCCTTTTGTGCTGTGTCTGTTTCATCATGAGCTTGCAGCTAAGGATTGTCTTATCCTTTAATGCATGGGCAGCAGTTAGCAAAGTGTTAAGTGCCTTGCAAGTGTTAAGATACACAATGCCAATTACATGGAAATGAGCAGTGGCGTAGCGTGGGGAGTGCAGGGGGGGCCGGCCGCACCGGGCGCAACATCTGGGGGTTAGGGTTAGGGGGCGCAAATCCACAGGTTAGGGGGCGCAAATCCACGGGTTAGGGGGCGCAAATTACTTGCCTTGCCCCGGGTGCTGACAACCCACGCTACGCCACTGGAAATGAGTACTAAACATGTGTCATTTTCCATTGTATGAAAGCTCCGATACAATGTGGAAATTAAGAGTTAGGGAAAAGTCAGGGAAATGGAATCGACAACCATGTGAATGCAGCCTCTTTCTGCCCTCTCCAGCCCTGCCTGGCTGGGATGTGTCATTGGCCTGTGATGCAGCTGCCCCTTGTTCACATCCCAGGCGCAGGATGGAGAGAGGAGTAGAACCCTCTGACTTTTCCCATGGCTGGAATGCAGACTGCTATACAAAGGCCAAGCGCCACACCTGTGCTCCACCCACTTTTACCTCTGGCCCCGCCCACCTTTGGCGCATGGAAGGTTGTCCACAAGGGAACTTCTGCAGGAGGAGGTTCCTGATCCCTGGCCTATGCAGACAAGGTCAGACCTTTCGGTTTTGTACATTTTTATTCTGGGTGACAGCTGAAAATCCAGATGAGCACGAGACCTGCGGGGGAAGGGGAGGGAAATGCAAGCACCACATTAGGAGCAGGGGACAAAGGCAACAATTCAAGGGCAAATATTAATAGAGAGAATTATTAACAGATACAAAGACAAATTTATATTATGGCCATTGTTGATTACATTTGTATACCACCTTTCATCTGGAGAGCCCAGGGTGGTTCACAACAGAAAAGTGATCACCCATATGCATGCCTCATTGTCACAATACATTATTATTATTATTATTATTATTATTATTATTATTATTACTATTATTATTGTTGTTGTTGTTACTGATCTGCCCTTCACACTAGGGTACCTGGGCAGGTTACAACAATTTAAAATGCAACATTAAAAACTGTTTTTAAAAGTTACAGTTACTAATAATACAATATATCTAATAGAAACAGCAATAATGTCTTAACAAAAACTAACAAGTTCATACAATTGCTTACTTAGATTTCCAATAATTAACTTGCAATAAGGATTCGGGTGAATTAAGAAAATTATTTTGGTAGATTTATATTCCACATCTAAAATCAACTATCTGCAGGTGTAGATAAGATACAGAGTATGACCATTATTCCATCTAGCTTAGTACCCTCTAGACCAGCAGCAGTTCTCCAGGGTTTTAGGCAGGAAACACTCCCAGTCTTACATGAAGATATTTCCGGGTTTGACCCTGGGACCTGCTGCATGCAAAGTGTGTGCTCTGCCACTGAGCTACTCCCTTTCTACAAGGTAAGATTCTAATCCACATGGTTCTGAATAAAGGAATGTATTAAATTGGAACATACGAAGTTGCCTTCTATTGAGTGAGACCCTTGATCCATCTGAGTATGGCAGAAGCACTTGGGGTTTCAGGTGGGGAACATTCCCAGCCCTACCTGGAGAGATGCTGTTGGGGACTGAACCTGGGACCTTCTGCATGCAAGGCAGGGGCTCTGCCCCTGAGCTACAGGCCTTCCCTTACGGGACTTCCTTTGATCGAACACACTAGGGCAAGCAACATGTCAAAGGGTGGTGCCAACACATTTCTGCAACCTTTCTGACTTTTCCATTTCATTATGTGCAAAACGAGCGTCCTGGTATCCAGCTGCTTAGAAGTCCTCGGGACAGCTTATATTATCTCAAGCTGATGCAATGATCTCAGTTAAAAACAAGATTTTTTTTTAATGTCAGAAATCAGCGCCAGAAAATATAATCAACAGCCATCCAATCTCCCATGTTAAACCCACAATAAGATTGATTTATATATCTCCAGCCCATCACGCTTATAAAGAGGTCCTAATTTCCACATGGCTAGAAAGATGTGCATCTTTTGGGCTTCAGGGTGTTCCATAGATGTGGGGATAGTCACCCCAAATGGGCACAGCCTCTTGCGCCTGCCACTTCCAGCACCACTGGCACCCAAATGCTGTTGCACTTGGGTCCTGCTTGGGGGCTCCCCAGAAGAGGCATCTGGTTGGCCCAGTGAGAACAGGAAGCTGGACTAGATGGACCCCCTTTGGCCTGATCCAGCTACAGGGCTCCTCTTATGAGCGGGATTGCCTGAGGACTGTATCATGCAGCCATCCAGGGCATGCCTTCAAAGGGACTAGTTGCATGCCCTACTTTCTCAGATTGCCTGCAAGCACAGCAGACTCCTTTGAAGCTGATGCAAATCATTTTTGTGCCCTCAAAGGGACTTTCTTTCAGAGCCAGTCAGCTGTTTGACACTGACAGCGAGCCCCTTGGCTGCACTAGGGAGTTCTTGGTGGGTAATCCCAGAAGGACTCACTGTCGGTGTCAATCAGCTGATATAGTAAGCGAGCCCCGCTTGCAAAGGAACAATTGGGAGCTCACTTTAAGGAAGGAGAATGTGGTTTGGGGAGAAAACACCCTAGTGGACCAAATCAGAAGGTTCCTTCAGGGCTTCTCCACCTCTGAGCTACAAGCTGCATGAATCTGCATTCATTTCCCCATTGTTCAGCCCAGACACTGAGGTCCAGCTCTGAGGGCCTTCTGGCGGTTCCCTCACTGAGAGAAGTGAGGTTACAGGGAACCAGGCAGAGGGCCTTCTCAGTGGTGGCACCCTCCCTGTGGAATGCCCTCCCATCAAGAAATAAACAACTATTAGACTTTTAGAAGACATCTGAAAGGCAGCCCTGTATAGGGTAGTTTTTAATACTTGATGTTTTACTGTGTTTGATGTTTTAATTTGTTGAAGCCACCCAGAGTGGCACAGGCAACCCAGTCTGATGGGAGGCATATAAATAAATTATTATTACTGTATTATTATTATTATTATTAATTAGCTCAAACCCTCATGGGTGTAGCCAGGATTTAATTTAGGGGGTATAAATAGCCTGTGGGAACCTTCCAGTTGTTTAGAAACTAGACAGGCCCTGCAGGTGCACCTTCTCAGGAGAAAATGCTGGAAACTATGAGAAACTTCCAGAACAGAGCTACCCGCAATGTGATTGGTCAGTTTGCGGAACTACGCCTATCGTTCAGTCGGATTGCCAGTTGAGTCGCTAGAATGTGCCGCAACATCATCCAAATGACCTCAGCGAGAATTTCAATTTCAATTATTCTGATTATTCCTATTTTTATTTATTTACTTGATTTAGGGAGGGCAGCTGCCCCCCTGGCTATGCCTGTGCTAACCCTGGGAGCAGAAGATCATCACCCCAGGTTCCTACAGAGATGCCTCCTCCCCCTTGATACGCACCTTAACCAGGTAAGGAGGGAGAAGTCCTGGCAGAGTAGAAGGCTTTACATTGGCGGGTGATGGTAGAAGTAATAGCCCCCGTAGGCCATTGTTCCGAAAGACAGCGCAGCTCCCAACAACTGAATAAACCTTGATTTGTCTGTCCAAGTTTCGCTCACTTGAGGGTGGAGGGAAAAAAACAAACAATTCCTTTCTATAGCACCATAAATGTGCATCACACTTTGCAAAGTGCAAAGTGAGAAGTCTCCGCCCCCAAGGACACTACAGTTTGCCCCGAGGGAGATGGAGGCAGGTGCTGCCATGTCACTGTCACATGATTAGACTTTTGTTATACAGCAGGGTAAGAGGTTGCAATTTATCTTATAACATCGTCCCTATGATGCCCATTAACAGCATCCTCTGGGCAGCTCACAAGCAGGAAAACATGAAAATATATAAAGAAGCCCAGAACAATAAATCAAACCAGAAAACAAATCCCAGCATAAGCGTTCCTGGCAATGCTCTGAGCAGGGGATTTGATTGCATACGGGCCTCAAAAGAAGGAACAGCCACACCAGCCTCCATTAACCTGAAACAACTTTCTGAGGGCAAGAGCTGTTTGAAAGTGGAACGGACTCCCTTGGACTTTTTTTTTTTTAAGGGGGTGCGAGGTCATGTGTCAGTGCTGGGGTGGCATGCCCATGGCTGCTGGGTGTTCACTGACTCTTCTGCAACACAGGAAATGATACTGAAGAAGAGATCCTCTGGGCATGCACAGAGTGACTCCTTTCCCATGCAGCTAGTAGCAAGCCACCAGATTGGCAGTTATTTGAGCAGTAGCCCACCTTTCAGCCCCAGAGGGGAGCATTCAAGATGGTTTGGGAGTACAGTTGGGGGGGGGAGTGTCTCACAACTGCTTGGGAGTTGCAGGACCAGATCCTGAAGCCTCCTTTCCTCTCTCTCTCTCTCTCTCTCCTCCATGTCAGAAAGACTCTCCTCTTTCATCGTGAGAGCTGGTTGGATTATGACCTGAGAGGCCTGGATTCGAATCCCCACTCAGAAAGGAAGCTAACCAGGTGACAATGGGCCCTTCAACATCTCTCAGCCTAACCTACTTCACAGGGTTGTTGTGGAGATGAAATGGGGAGGCGGAGAACCAGGTACAACATCACCTTACGCTCCTGGGGGGGGGGAATGGTATATTAATGTAATAAATAAATGTGCCAAGCAAATAAGACTTGGGGGGAGTGAGGACTTAAATAGCTAGTGGAAGGGGCCTTGAAAGAGATAGTTGCCACTCTGCACATGCCCAGAAGCAGCTTGTGCCACAGCAGAAGTTAAGCCCTAATCAAGTCTGAGCAGCCACTGAGGGTTTGATTTCAGCCTCCACTGTTGCAAGTGAGGAAGAGTGCCCCTGAGCATACCCAAAGTGCTTCCCGCTCCCCCAAATCTCACTGTCAGAAAGACTCTCCTCCATCATGTTGCAAGTAAACAAGCCTTGCGGGGAATGAGGACTAAACTAGCCATTGGAGGGCACTTGTCGGTTCCTGGGGAAACAGGACCGGGCTTTGCAAGGGCTGGCCGGCCCTGCGCACATGCCCAGAGGCACCTTGTGCCACAGCAGGAGGCTTGCGCAGCGCCGGCGTTCTGCAAGCGATGAAGAGCGCCCCCTCGAGCATACCCAGATCGCCTCCCGACCCCTACTCACGCGTTCGCTTGGTGGCGACGCGGCCCTTGATGCGCCGGAGCTCGAGGGCGCCGTCGGGCCGGCCAGGAGCGAAGACGGCCGTGTGGATCTCCATAGAGCAGGTGCCCTCGACTTCGAAGACCTCGCGGAGCAGCTCCTCGAGGCGACTCAGGGCTTCGTACTCCTCCTCGGGTCGCGGCTGCACAATCACGCCCACCAGGGCGGCCGGCGAGCCGCGGCTCTGGTCCCGCACGCCCTGCAGTACCTCCCGCAGCCGCGCCGCCCGCTCCCGCAGCGACGCCGCCCGGCACAGGAAGAAAGTCAGCTGCCCCGACGGCGCGACCGAGGAAGTGCAGGGCGGCGACTGAGTGCCTAGCTGCTGCTGTTGCTGCTGCTGCTGCTGAGCCTTCTCGGTGGGCTCGGCACCAGGGGCCTCTTGGGAGCCGCCACCCGTTGTGGGCAGCACGTGGTGCGCGAAGGAGCTGAGGACCTGCTGGCCGCTCTCGGCCCCCCACGGCTCGCCGGCCAGGAGCACCACTTGCGTTCGCTGCACCACCGCGCCCCCGGGTTCGCCCTCGCACGGGTCCTGGTGGGCGTCGGTCCGCCGCCCTCCGCCCCGCTGCTCTTTCCTCTCCATTCCGCCCGGCTCCAGCTGCTGGTGGCGCCTCCCGACGGGACGGGCGCCACTCGCACAGTGTCACAATCCCTCCTCGCGTAAGGGGCCCTTGCTGCTGCCACTGCTGCTGCGTGTGCCCACGAAACGCCGCGCGCTTGGTCTTGGCTGCCCGTGCGCCCTGGGCGCACCGGCTAGATGTGTGCGCCCTGGGCGCATTTGGCGAGCCCCCTGTTCTTCGGAGTGCCCAAGCAAGCGTGCAAGAATTTTGGCCACGGTTGTTGCCTCCTCAAAAGCTTTCGAGGCTTGGAGAGAAGCGACCGGGACGAAGAATGTGGAAGTCAGTCTCTTTGGCACCAGGTCCATTTGGGAAGGCACGGCTCTCCGCTCTCATTCTATTGCTCGTGGCCTTTCGCGAAAGAAACGACGACAACTCTTTAACTGACACTGCTCAATGCAGGCATGTTTACTCGAAAGAAAGCCCTACAGAGCCCAGTAGTTCAGGTACTGGGGATCTCAAAACTGGATTACTGCACTGCGTTCTGTGTGGGGCTTCCCTTGTGCTTCATGATCCAGAAGCTCTAGTGATTGCAAAATGCTACAGCAGAGTTGCCGACAGGAGAAACATTTTTGTTTAGGCAAACCAATCCAGGCACATAGTTGTCAATGTGGTTTAATCTATTTTACTCTTAATTTATTTTTAAAGGTGTCGTTTCTATTATTGATAATTTTATTTTTTCTTGTAAACCATTAGAGGTTTTGCTACAATCAAGCAGTATATAAATTTTGCAAAATAAACATTATTACATTTGCTCCCAAGTGTGTTTACCATGGCAGACTATATGGGTTGTTCCTGATGGTTGGGCGGGATTCAGCCACATACTGGCAAATTCATGTTATGCAATAGAAGTTGATTTGGAGCTCATGTGTGACAAACCACCTGCCTCCTTCCCTCTCAAAAAAAGTAATGGGAAAATGCACTGGAAAGGATGCATTTTTTCCCAATCCTGTAAACTTCGTTCAAACAAATAAAACCTAATATGGGCCTCTTGGATCAGGCCAAAAGGAGGTCCGTTTAGTCCTGCATCCTATTGTCACAGCGGCCAACCAGATCCCTTTAGGAAATTTGCAAGCAAGGCTTGAGCACCAACACTTCCCCTTTCCTGCGGTTTCCAGCAACTGATGTTCAGAAGTTTTGCTGCCTCAGAATCTGAATGAATGCTCAGTAAAATGGCCGTCTGAAAGAAACCTTTGCAAGGAGGTTGCAGCTTCTCCTGTTTGAGCATATACTCTGGTTTGTGGAGGGGTCAGATGATGCTCCGTTCTGCACTTTCCAGCACACACTCCTCATCATTTCCCTTTACTGCAAAAAATCCAATGTTATGTGCACCTCAATTTCTGAGCAACAAGATAATCCAGGGGTTCCTCCTGTGCATGCTCATGGGTTTGGTTTCCTTGGAATGAATCTCAGTGGAGACTGCTGTCTTAAGAGTATATGATTTTATTTACACATATATTGTTTCATTATTTCGTTGCATTTATATCCCACTTTTTTCTTTAAGGAGCTCAAGGTGACGTATACAAGGTTCTCTCCCTCTTATTTACTTCCCACAATGGCCCTCTGACGTAGGTTAAGCTGTGTGTCAGGGACTGGCAGGGCTCTGAAGTGTGTGTGGTGGAGGCAGGAAACCAGGACAGTGACCCAGGAGATAGGGACAGCAATTTAGGGGGTTTGGTGCCACCTGCAAGGCAGGAGCCAGGGCAGGAGGAGGAGAAAAGGGCCTTCTTTGGCTGAGCGGGCAGGGAGGGAACATGACACTGAGAGGCAGTGACTGGCCCTTAAGGGTCCCTCAGTGAGTTTCATGGCCAAATGGAGAATTGAACCCAGGTCTCTCCCAGGCCACAGTGTAAGCACTACACCAAAGTGGCTGTATCCAACCTGGACAGGTCCCACCTGGAGTACTGTATCCCGTTCTGGGTGCCACATTTTAAGAAGGATGTTAATGAGCTGTTATGTGTGCAGAGGAGGGCAACCAGGATGATCAAGGAGCTGCCTATGTTTAGCCTGGAAAAGAGGAAACTGAGAAGAGATATGATAGCAATCTTCTAATATCTCAAGGGCTGTCACATGGAAGATGGAGCAAGCTTGATTACTCCTACTCTGGAAGGTGGGACTTGAACCAATTTCTTCAAGTTACAAGGAAGTAGATTCTGACTAAACATCTTTCTGACAGCAAGAGCTGTTCGCCAGTTGAACGGACTCCCTCGGGAGGTGGTGGGCTCTCCTTCTTTGGAGGTTTCTAAGCAGAGGTTGGATGGCTATCTGTTCTTTAGCCATGACTCCTGCATTGCAAGGGGTCAGTCTATATGAGCACAGGCTAGAGGGGCTCACAGCAATAACACTTCAGTAGTCCTTGCCTCCCCATTAGGGTCCTAGGGAAGCCCCAAGCCACAGCTTTGGGTCCAGCACAGAGCAAGACAAGCCTCTGTGTCTCCAGCTTCCAGCATCAGCCGCAAACATACCAAACCTAGCTCTCCTGGACCCCTTCTGGGACTCGGTTGTAGCTGCTGCCACTGGCCTTCTGATGAACCATTCACATGTGGAGCTGAAAGCCCCAGGCTGTGATGCAGCCCCCTGGGATGAAGTGAGTGGGTGCTATGCTCCTGAGCTGTGTGAGGGAGGGGCTGCTGCAGGCTCTGTGTGGGTGGGCATTGTGACATCGGCAGGCCGTGTGGCCTGGAAGCCCTTCAAGGTTTAGCTAAAGGCAGGCGGCCACGGACTCCATGCTGGCAGGACATGACCAAGGAGGGGAAGGGCTCCGAGCAGCTTCCCGAAGCAATATGCATCGCAGGGCCCGGGAGCAAGGTCGCCAAGGACCTCCAGGTCCTGGTGAAGAAGGTGGCGGGCCAGCCTGAGGTCCTGCTCATTGGGGAGACGCTGGAAGGCAAGGACATCCACGGGATGATGGACACCTTCGTCAAGGACCTCTTTACCACCAACTGCTTCCCCATCCACCCCGGAGATTCCCTGAAGGAGCCCTTGGCTGCCACCACCTGCAATATCGGGGGCACGCCATGTCAGCTGATCTTCTTCCTCTGCCGGGCTTCCTGCCTCCAGGGAAAGCAGAAGGAGCTCCGCAGGGTCATCAAGGAGGTGAAGAAGTTTGTTGAGAAGTCCCCCTGTGCCCTGGTGGGCATCGTCATGGACCCCAAGACTTCGGAGGCGGAGGCCGCCCGCGACCAGCTGCTGCGCATGCTCCGGGGCGCCTTCCCCAAGGGGTCTGCACAGAAGCAGAGCAAGGCTGGAAAGGCTGCGGAGGAGGTCAAGAACGGCCCGATGGAGCTGGAGGATGTGGAAGTGGAAGCGGAGATCTACACCCCAGGCCACCCGCGGGGGAACCTGGCCATCGTGAAGGCAGCTTGCAGGGCTTCTGAAGCCCTGATCAAATCCAAAGGTGTGAGGCTCCTGGTTCTGGCACAGGGGTCATATAAGGCAGCAGGGGCTCCCCCAAGGTTGATTGGTGGCGCCCTCTAGTGTGACATGGCCCCTTTCCTTGGAAGGAGGCTACTGGAGGTTGCCTGTCACTCTGCCTGATTGGAGAGTTGGAGGCAGCATTGTTTCTCAATACAAGTTTCTGGAAGCCCCAGAAACTGGGGAGAGGGCTCTTCGTGTTCTGGTCCTGCTTGCCAGTTTCCCAGCAGAGGCATCTGGTTGGCCACTGTTGCCACAAGATGTTGGCCTAGATGGGCCATTTTGGCCTGATCCAGCAGCCGGACTCCTTATGGAACCCCCAGCTCCAGAGGCAGTCTATCTAGATTTCTAGGTTCTGAGGGGTATTAGGCCACTGTGAGAAAATGATACAGGGCTAGGTCAGTCATTAGCCCGATCCAGCAGACAGTCTCCTCTTAAGTTCTTCTGTATACAGTGGTACCTCGGGTTAAGTACTTAATTCGTTCTGGAGGTCCGTTCTTAACCTGAAACTGTTCTTAACCTGAAGCACCACTTTAGCTAATGGGGCCTCCCACTGCCGCTGCGCCGCCGGAGCACAATTTCTGTTCTCATCCTGAAGCAAAGTTCTTAACCTGAAGCACTATTTCTGGGTTAGCGGAGTCTGTAACCTGAAGCGTATGTAACCCGAAGTACCACTGTACAGGCTGAGTGTAGGTGGCAATACAGTTTAACTCCGACGGAAGTCCCAAATTCACTGATCCTTGCCAGATTTCTAGGGAAATCACCAGGGCCATCATTTTGTTGTTGTTGTTCTTAACACAGAGCAACCCAGCCCTCTGTGTTTCTCGCCCCCAGCTTAGCCAAGCTGAGGGGCTGTAGCTCAGAAAATGCAGAAGGTGCCAGGTTCAATCACCACTGGTATCTCCAGGAAAAGACCTGTGACTGACTATCTGGAGAACTGCTGCTGCCAGTCAGTGCAGACAGTACTGAGCTAGATGGACCAATGGTCCAACTTGCCATAAGGCAGTCAGCTATATTTTGTCTGCCCCAGAACAACGAACAGGGTGCATGCTTTGTTCTCTCCCCCACAAGGCCTGGCTTGCCCCCTCTCTCCTGGGCTCATGAAGATTCCTGCATTGCAGAGGGTTGGACTAGATGACCCTTTGGTCCCTTCCAGCTCTATGATTCTATGATCACTCCACAGTGACTCAAGATCAGTTCTGATGTGCGGTGACTTACAAGACAGAACCCCATGCATCAGGCCCCTCGAGTCAAAGGTCCAATATTGACCTCCCTGATCTGTGTGGTTAAGGATAGACATCAGAATTTCCTTTCCGCCTTAGGACTCGAAGCTTCTGCCACATGCAAACTGCTTAGAGCTAACTTTTGGGGGTCGCTGCCCCCTTGATTACATAAACTTGTCCCCAGTGCCCCCTGCCTCAATCCTATGAAAAGCATTGTTCAGAAGAGTGGTTTGCATGACCCAGTAAGGAAGATAATAATGCGATAAAAGTCAAAACCATGGCAATTAATTGCCCCTTGATTCAAAATCCATTAAAAATTATTTAGTTTAATTAATTCAACAAAACTGAAGAATTTAGGGCCAACAGGATAGCAGAGTTGGAGGGGACCCCCTAATGTCATCTAGTCTAACCCGCTGCAAAGAAGGAAGCTCAACTAAAGCATCCATGACAGATGGCAATCCAAGCTTGGCTTGGAAACCTCCAAGGAAAGAGAGTCCATGATCTTTGACTCCACCGTCAAACAGCTCTTACTGTCCAAAAGTTCTTCCAAATGTTTAGTCAGAATCTCTCCCCCCCCCCCCCCCAGTTTGGGTCCTCCCCTCCAGAGCAGCAGGAAAGAAGCAGGGCTCCATCTTCCATTTGACAGCCCTTTGGATATTTCAAGATGGCTATGATGTCACCTCTCAGTCTCCTCCTGTTCCCCTCCCAGAGCTACAATGCTCCGAGTAGTCCAACCATAATTCCCTCGTTCACAGGGAATGCTGGGAACAGCAGCTCTGTGCAGGGAGGAGGGGACTCCCAAACACCCTCAGCACTCGGAGCAAAACACAGCTCCCAGTGGGACCATCTTTTCAAAGTCTGGTGGTCATTGCCAGCCACTTGCCTCTCAGCCACCCCACCTCCTGGAATTCCTCCCGCAGGAAGCACTGCACCTGCTTTGGGAACCACAGGCTTAGAGGTTCCCAGAGCCTCTGAAAGGTCAAAAGGGGTATGTAAATTTTGCTTAATAATAATAATAATAATAATAATAATAATAATTTATTTGTACCCTGCCCATCTGGCTGGGTTCCCCCAGCCACTCTGGATGGTTTCCAACAAAGATTAAAAATACATTAAAATGTCACACATTAAAAACTTCCCTGATGTCTTCTAAATGTCAGGTAGTTGCTTATCTCTTTGACAACTGGTGGGAGGGCGTTCCACAGGGTGAGCACCACTACCGAGAAGGCCTTCTGCCTGGTTCCCTGTAGCTTTGCTTCTTGCAGTGAGGGAACCGCCAGAAGGCCCTCGGCGCTGGACCTTAGCGTCCGGGCAGAACGATGGGGGTATACTCCTTCAGGTATACTGGGCCAAGGCCGTTTAGGGCTTTAAAGGTCAGCACCAACACTTTGAATTGCTTGGAAATGTACTGGGAGCCAATTTAAGTCTTTCAAGACCGGTGTTATGTGGTCTTGGCGGCTGTGAATGGAAGATAAGAGGTGTGTTTTTATGAATGGGTACAGGAATGGGAAAGTGGGACTATCCCCTTGATCTAGTTAACCCAATAATTCCTGTGCAGGTATGCCGGAGGAGGCCCATAACGCCGAGGTCACTAAGGATTCGCTAACCATTACAGGTTCGTGGACTTCGTTTGCCGTCAAAAGTTTCGTGGGGATGACATTCATTGGCTTGGCTTCCGCAGCAGGGTGGTACGCCTACAACCAAGGGATGATCCCGCCAGAGGTGTTGCAACTCCTGCACTTGCCGCCTGTCTGAGGTGTGTGTTTCCTTCGGCTTTCTCTGTCAAGAGCCTTGTTGGCTTTGAGCAACAGAACTTCAACTCAGGCCCATCTCAGAATGCCAGCAATTGGGCGTCATCCAAAAGCCGTATGGGGCGAGCAAAAGAGAACAGCTCTTCAGCCAGATTGCACACATAACTTGTGGGATTCACTGCCACAAGATCTGGTAATGCCCAGCGAAGGGCTTCTGGCTTAGTGGTTCAGCTTCAGCTTCCCATGCAGAAAGTCACAGGTTCATTCCCCAATGGCATCTCTGGGGTAATCTGATTTTGTATAAGGCAGATTCCTATCTTCCTATTTAAATTTGCCCTTTCTCCAGAACCATAAGGACTGGGATCTTACTGTACTCTTAGGGAAGAACCTTAGCTCAGTGATAAGGAATCTGCTTTGCATGCAGAAATCCAGGTCGGGCTGCTCATGCCCCCATCTGGAACCCTGGATCGCCACTGCCAGTCCGTGTACTGAGTTAGATGGACCAGTGGTCTCACTCAATATGAGGCAACTTCTTAGGTTTCAGTAGCTTAGATGGATTTTACAACTGATTTTACATACTTATGGGTATTGTCAATGAGTATTAGCCAGGACAGTTGAAAATGGAGCCTCCATATTCAGGAGAAGTTTGACACTAATAAAGCAGATACCTATCACCGTTGGTAAATGTGGATGTGCAGGAGCTAATCAAGACAGACCCTAGAGCCATGAGATGGCGTTTCCCTTTAGGTTCCCAGCAAGACCAAATGCAAAATAAAAGAACACATTATATTGTTTTTGTGGCATGGCTGCAATCCTGTACATGGTTTCCTGGGTAACCTCCACTGAACTCAGGGGTGCTTCTTCTATGACTGCACAGGTCCAACATGCAGAACACTCAAGCTCCAGCCAGCTAAAATCCAAGCTTTGGCTTTTAATTAGAAATGTAAATAAGTGTTTCTTTTTAAACTGCTGGTGTAAATCAGGGCCCCATCAAAGAAAAGGAAAAGGCAAAGCCAGCCTCTGCTTATTTTCCTAATCCTCTGACTTTATACCAACTGGCCCCAAACCAGTAACACTTGAAAGCCTCCTTATCCCCTCATTCACTGGAGGGACCTGTCACTGCTGTGGTGGGGGCCGAAAATTAGTTGGGGGCCCTCCAGGCCAGTTCTGGCCTGAGTACTGCTGGTTCCCTGCCCGTTCCACTATGTAGCCATAATGGCTATTAACACTGAAAGACTTGTCATCCATGGCTTTGTCTAACTCCTATCTAAAGCCATCTAAGGCTGTGGCCTTCGTATCTTGTGCCAGTGAGTTCCACAGAATAATTGGGTGTTGTGCAAAGAAGTCCTTTCTTTTGTCTGTCTTGAATCTCCTGTTTAGCATTATGCCGCAACAGAAGGTCAGGATGTGCACTGAGACATGTGTTCAGATCAGATGTTTTTTAGGCATGGTCTGCATGCTTACTGAAATAAGCTGATTGCTCCTGTGGGTGGGTTTTTGACCAATAGGTGTTGCATTTATTTTATCACTTAAAGAAAATTGAATACAATAACACCCACCCCTTAAAAAGGAGGGGAAACCATTGACCTGATGGTTTTATTCTGTTTTCTCTTCAGATTCCGAGTTCTTTGGGGTTTCAGCTGTCCTGCAAAATAAAATCAACAGCATGGCACCTCTGTGTGTGTGTCATGTATTTTACCATCCTGCACTGGGAGTGGGAAAACCATTTGCTATCTGTCTCTAGTGCCCTTTTCAAAAAATCACAAATGGGCCTTTTGCCCTGTGCCCTACCCGCTTGCTCTTACAGCATAGGCAACTATTTCAAGATCACCAGGGCAAAGTTGAACTGCATTCTAACCCTGGGACCTTTACACATGCTCAGAAGCACCGGCTTCTTTTCAGTTCACACGTTTTTTAGTTATAAACCTCGGCCAGGAAAATAAGTTATGAGCAGAGGGCACAAAAGGAAAACAAGGCCCCCTCCCGCAACAAAGTTTCCCACGGTGCTCTGGAGCCGCTGCTTTTTTAAAGGGCGCTGCCCCTTTAAGCAGAGGCCGCGCGCCACTCGCTCAGACAAAAGCCGGGCAAG